AGAAATTGTGTGCGCTCTGAGTAAGAATTTGGGGTTCACTGTGATGAGTAAGAACCAGGAGACTAAAACACTACATACATGTCTATCTTTAGACCGGTTACGAAAAGCACCAAGAAGGCATCTTACCACATTCAGATTTGCAGAGTAGGGAGCAGGATCCCAGGCCACTAAGATAACATCTTTGTACAAAGAGCTGTCAACAAAGTGGTGGTTTGGATTGGTGAGAATCTGCACAAATATGGAAAAAAAAAAATGCAGAGTTAAGCTTTCCAAAAGCAGTTGGGACCATCCCCCAAAATGAACGCTCCTCTCCACTCTGCTGTTTGCTCTACATTAATTCTGGTTGATTTTAAGCAACTTACTTGAACTTGTTTTGCAAAAACAGACAAACAAAAACCCAGTGTCTGTAAGTGTGTGTATATATACATATATATACATATATATGTAAAAGAGCTTAGCTGTAAACAGCACTGTAAACATTTTGAAGGTGCAATTTGTAGCAATAGTGAATCCCTCTATCAGTGAGGGATGTGATGAGACCACTTGAAATGCTGCAAAATTGTGTATGAACATTACAGTACATTCTGGAACTGTAAATTGGAAGCAATGGTATTTCAGACTGCACACAGAGCCTCTTTTCGGACACAGAGCAGCTTTCTTTGAAAGGCTACAGCCTCCATGGATACTTTTTTGTGTGTGTTTTTTTTTCCCCCTTTCTTTTCTTTCCATTGTTTTCTCATTTTATCAAAGCCACAGTCTTATCTGAAATAACTCCAGACAGACAAATTAGGCCATGGCAGTAAGAGCTTGTCTACCTACAATAAGAATTCCTAGAAGAGGCACACAGCAATGCCATTTTTGAAGTAACAGCCATATCACTGATCTATTGCTCTCAGATAATTCCTTTCTGCACCTCCTGGTGCACTGTCTAATCCTCCTACCACACTGGACATTTCCCTTTCACTTCCGTAGGCTTATCCTTTCCCGACTCTCCACACCAGTGACTTTCCTGAGCATCTCTCTCTGATCCCTGGTGCATCTAGTCTCAGGAAAGATTGAGTGGAATAATTTCAACACTAGTTGAAACAGCGTGAATTTGTCTCCAGCTGTTAAACTAATCAGCATTCCAGACAAATAAATTCATACTAATTTTCATTTCCCTTTAGGTTCCAATGAGCCATATTTGATTACACATATTTTTCTTCAGAAAAATAATATTGTTGCCATAGCAATATTCTCCCTACCATAAACTTTGAGCTTAATGACTTTCCATCAGCCTTCTACAATAACAGCAGAATTAGTCTTCCTGCCATCAGCTCCCCTAAACTCCATTTCTCAGAGCACTTTTTCTCTGAGGACATACTTTCTTTGGAGTGCAGAGTAAACAGAGCAGAGGGTCAAGCTTTTAAAAGCTTTGTTTTCCAATTATCACACAAAGGAGGCTCTTACTTCACTTTCAGTAAGCAAGAGTTCTTTAGAGGGGTTGTCTACACAAGTTTAATTCTTAGTGAGCCTGCATTTAGACGTATGAGTTGAATTTCCCCTGAAATAGCAATATCCATTGTGGCTGCCCTCGCTTCCTTCATGTCCTTGGTCCTCTTCAGCAGAAAACATGAAGGAAGGAGAGGGCCACAATTGCCTTTCAATCAAGTAAGGGATTTCCACTAGCAAGAGGGGAAGAAAGGTCAGAAAATCTGTAAGGATATAACACCCTGAATTTCTGTATGGAAAATAACCTTTAGCAAGCGAGCTCCCTGCAGGAGGCCAGAGAGTCAAGGCCAGCTTCTCACCTCTCTGAAGGAGCAGCAAGGTGGTGGGAATATGTGAAGGAAATGAGGAAAGCTGTGAAAGTCGACCTGGTCTGAATTTTAGTAATGCCCTGCGGTTTCTTGAGAGGCCGTATGGAGAATAAAAAACACAAAGAGCAGCACAGAAGACTACGGAAGTCTCCGTTATCACCATGGCAGGCCTCTATCCCAGCAGTGTCTGAACCCAGGAAGACCCTCGTGCACTACTGGCAGCGGAGATCAGCTAATTCAGCCATTTAGTCTCTTCCCATTCAGTGTGTAGCTAACTAAGATCATATCACCCTCCCAAGGAACTTCTCACTTCTCTTATAGGGAATTGGGTAAGATTAGTTGACTAAATAAAGTTTCTAAACTCTTCTCCTTGCCTGGCACAGGAGTTCAGACACGGCCAGCAAGCCGGACACTCAGGTACTAATTATTTTGATTAACAGCAAACAACAGTAAAATGAAGAAGTGTTAAAAAACAGAGGTAAGACAAATGACACTTAGACAAACATTCTGCGATCCTACAATTTCAGCAACAAAGCCGACTGGATATATTTCTACTTCCTCCTCTGTATTAACTCTGTAACCATACCCATGGCCATTGATTACTTAAACTTGTCCTTTCACAATATTTCACAAAATTTTGCTGTAATTCTGTTGTCTTTCAGTTGCATTTCATAAAGCAGAATGAAGTTTGTCTAAAACTGGAGTTCAGGAGACAGTTTTGTCAAAATTTAAAAGTCATTCTCAACCATAAGGTGTCACTATAGTTCAATACACCCTTTATCTGTTGGCACCCTTATGCAGAAGATCACGTTTTATGCTTCCATTCAGATGAGCAACCTCATATCAGGCATAATATCTACTGTTCATTAACGTATTTTACTTTATCCCACTTATTTTTTACAGAATAGGGACTTGCCTAAAGCTATGCATTGAGACAGCTCAGGTTCCATCTCTTTCACCTTACAGCAAGAAAATAATTGGGGAACAGGAGAGTATGAGAAAAGAGCTCTGAGACCCATCTCAGACTTTCTGAAGATCCTGGAGGCAATGTGGGGTGGTGTTTACTAAAGATCTTCTTTACTTACATACAAGGATACATACGGAACTCTACAAACTTATTATTTGAAACAAGAATATCATAAAACTGCTGCAATCATTGTACACCAACTGCATATGTGAATATTCCTGTACAGGAGAACTTTTACCTGCTCTACATCATGATTGCTAAATCACTGTTTCCCAAAATGTTCAATGCTTTCTTAAAAATTACTGTCATCTTACACAGTACAGAAGTAACACTAATTCAAATTCACAAAAATAAGACCTTACCTGTGAGTTGATGATTCGCATAGTTGTTTTATTTCCAACATCTTTTTCATAGCCGCGTGTTGGAGCAGAATTAAATCTCAGAACAGCATCATGAGAATCTAGGAGCACAATGAGGGGCCAAAATGTTTTTCTTGGGAAAATAAATCAGTGAAATAACATAACAGGAGAAAAATGATCTGAACTAGCATAAAACATATACATTTTCCCTAATCTTTATTTTCTAAGGATGATAAAGATTCTACTACAAACAAATAAAAATCCTCTTGCATCTGCCATATGCTATTACTAAAATTATTAAAATTCACTGGAAAAAGCTCAAAATAATCTTTTTATTTAGCTTACAAACCTTAAACAGTTTACTTAATTGGATAAAATGAGTATTGAAAGGTTATTAGTGCAGTCAGCACACACTATTACTCACTGTTTCTATTGCAAAGTTTACAATGAATTATTCTACACAAAAGTGTGTTTATTACAGTGATATCTAACTGAAAATTTGAATGAATAACAATGCTCAACCATAACCTTATGTTTCACCATATCTTATAAGACCTAAACACATCAAGCCACCCTAGATCTATTGATGGCACCTTCTATCTATTACAAAGGTTAATACAGGTTTTGAAAAAGCTATGTAGGGATGTCAATTAAAAACCCAATTGTAATACAGAAACTATGAAGAGCCTTTGGTAGCAAAGATCTAACAACTGAACTGTCAAAGTTTCCCCATACTTGTTAATCTCAGAGTTATGAAAAATAAAAAGTAGCCATAGGCAATGTATGGGTCAAGGGCAGATACTGTAATTCTCTGCTGGGTAGAAGGTAATTACTCTTCCAGTGTTTCCTTTAATGAGCTCTCAAAGCCCAAAAGGTGTACAGGAGAGTAAAAAACAACATCCACTGCCTAGAAAGACACTGCTCCTGCCAGCATCCGCCTGTTCAGTCCCTGTTCAGTCACACAGTTTATCCCTTCTAGCAATGGAAGCAGAGAACATGTCCTGGAACACAATGTGTACCTATAGATAATTTATATGGTTATTTAAACCTCTAGTGATTTAAAAGGTGGTATTAAAATGTGGATGGTAGCTCAGGCATGGTTTCTAAAGAGAACCAACAGGCGTTAATGGAATTCCATCCTGATCCCATGAAACACTGATTTTCCTTCCTTTCATGCCTTTTCCTTCAGGAAAAAAAAAATGGCAAGAAAGTGCCCGTGACATGAAGCCAGCAGTATAACTCTCAGGTAGACTAGGTTGCTTAAACATGGCCTGTCTGAAAAGAGAGTTCTTGCCAGATGTCCCTTGAGCTCTCTGAAGCTGAAACGTGCAGGCT